TGTCCACGTCCGGATTCGAACGTGGGCCACTTCACGTACCCCTAAGTTTAGTAGGCAAGTACGTTACCACCGCACCATTACGGGGGCAACCTCATCCTTCGGTTTAGCCTCATCTGTTCTCGTTTCCTGCTCTCGATGAAGCTGCGACCATTGCAAACTGCCTAGCTCATCTGCTGCTTATCGCTTTATCCATTCATCCGCCATTAGACAACAATAGAGGTCTTGGCCCAAGCGCGACATTCAGCCTCACACTGTGGCTGGTGCCACAGCCAGTGGTAGAGCTTAGACAAAACAACAACGTCGTCGTTGAAAGGACAAACGCGAGTCGCACGACTACTGTTGACGCTGCCACTGCTACTGATGAACTCGCGCGGTCTAAAAGCCGCTGTCGCTAGTGACAACCTATCGCAGTTAAACAAAGAACAGGTAGACAGGCACATTCCGTCAGGGAGATATACCTAGGTGAATGTAGGCTTTTATCGAGTTTCGTTTTTTTTCTTAGGAACACCATGGCGGCTGAAGCAGGTAAAGGTAGGCAACCGTTGGCAACTAACATGGCAGTTACAGTCTTCTGACTAATGCGGTCTGCCCTCGAGCCGTGACATAGACTGGCTTATGGCCGTAGGCGCTGGGTTATTGGCAGCGGGTCTCAGAGACTCGAGCATGAATCGGGAAAAGGTGGAAAGAATAGAAGTGTATTATTATGACTGCAGTGGCAATAGAAGACAGCGAACAGGAAAAGAAACTGTATTCGGTATGGCAAAAGCAGCAATGGCGGCGGCAGAGATAAGCGTAAGCTCGTCCTTGCGCTTCACTCTATTTAGTGGCCTTGTCGCTAGTTTATTGGCTCACCGCAAATCGAGTGTGCGCTATCCAATGGATACGTACCGTTCTCGCTGCAATGCCGTTCGGCGCGACTGCTGTCGTCATCGTCGTCGTAATTGTTATGGTCATTGCATTGTATGCACGTTCGACAAGTTAAGCACGTTGAGATGCCAAGGGCTGCCGACCGCTAACGCTTATCGAAGCGCTCTAAGAGTTGACAAAGGATTGTTACTCGTCATCTGCCAGACCTTTTTGGCGATTTCATATTTAGGGGATGACGCTTGATCGTCAACCCTGTTGGCTGTAAGTGACAGCTACTGAGAACGTACAACTTTCATAGATTGCGTCATTGTTGTTACCAACATTTCACTTCCGTAAACGAAAAACGCGCGCTGATAACAAACAATAGCAATAGGATTAAATGTGAGCAAAAAGTTGCGGCGTAAGTAGCCTCGAAGAGGGCTGTTTTTACGTGTGTTCTCTTTTTTTCGTTTAACACCAACAACAACAATTGCTCAGCTTAATTAAGTTATCGTTGTGGAAGCGGGGCAAAGCATCATACAACGTAAAAAGGGGCCAGAGGTTGGATTGTGGATCGATCGAAGTTTATGTGTTTACTTGGATTTTTCGACGTGCTTTTGTTTTGTGAAAGTGCGCTTCTCGGAAGAAGTTTGATCAATTGTGAGAATGGCTATAACGTGCCTCTAACATAATACAATGCTTGCTTTGATGTATTATTTGTTCAATAAATTCAATAGTGGGTGAGGTGTACTCACATCTTATATGGGGTAGCAAGAAAGAAGCAGTCAAGCCTTTATGCCAGCGGTAGTCAAAAATGCTGACTGCCCCCAACTGCTGTCTGGCCAACGAAACAGTGGAAAGTGTCAGCACAGCCTGACTGCAGTCATCTTTTGCCTTCCCGGAAACTATCTGTGACAGCTGTTAATTTCTATATCGCCAAATCAACTTGAACTATTTGTCAAAGCGCTTGGGTACGTAGGTACCGCTAGAACGGCCCGGATTAGTGCAGGTCTAAGGTAGTTCTAACGTGTTTAGCTCGTAACAGAAATGGTCTATCTTCAAATTTGGGTTCTTAATTTGATTTTTTAGTAGCATTAAAACAGTAGGTAAAACGCTTAATATAGAATATTGTTTTTCTATTTAGTTTTTTTTAGGTTGCCCGTACTGAGTCCGCTAAGGAGTCCTAGAAGCAATGTTGCAGACAGGACAGCTGAGGCTTATTTAGGGGAAAGGTGAAAAAAGTAGACAACCCTAACTAATAGGGCACTTAACAACTGACAACTTGATGCGTCGATGTATATTGTCCGGCCTTAATTTGTCATCGCATAAGCTCTGTTTGGATAACGTTTTAATGTCTATTGGAATAGAACGGCACTAATTTACTTCATTGAAAGGGGCATCTCGCATATGCATTTCCGCTGAGTGCGAGCTGGTCCAGTTGTCGGTGTAGGCAATCAGCTTTTCAGAAGGCCCAGCGGGGCAATAATCGATGTTAATGAAACCGACGATGTTCACGCTAGTATAGTCTCGATGGCCGTCACACAGCATAGCATCAATTGGAAATCGTTCACACTTTTACATTCGTGCCACGTTTTCATATCGCCTTTAAACGTTTTTGTATATGTACACATAATGCACGTGTGTAATGGATAAATATTTACTGAACTGAACCTACAGAGGCGTCCTTTGGGATTGAAAATAGCAAGACCCATTGATGTGTTAAATAGAGAGTCTGCGTGCGGGCCAGTCAGATCGCGTGCGTGCCAATTAAACGTGTTGAGCCATCTACTGACGCGTGATTGGTCCACTATGTGGGTCAGATAAGTTAATCGCTGTGGCGAAGACCATGACGGTAGCTTTTTCTGGCGGGTGCTGGGCGTAACCCAAAAATTATTAACACCCAATGAAGCGAGTTTGTATAGGTGATAGAAAAATACGCAGGTGTAGTTCGTAGTCAAGATTCTCTCAGACGTTGATCATCCAGTTACCTGATAGAGTCCGCGGAGTGTTTATTGAATCGGCCGTGGTCGAGTGACTAAGAGTGGGTACTAGCATAGCTGTATCCTGTCAGGCCGCGTCCTGGTCCATTCTAAAACTTTTCTAAATTGCACATACGGCTTCGACACGGATCAGAAAATTATGAACTTCTTTTTTTTGAAGAGCGATTGCCTAAGCAAATGTTGACGTTGAAAATATTGGCCGACAGTCAAGGATCTTTTTGTTTTTTTACATTTTTCGGTCAAAAAGGTCTATTTAGAGGCGTATAATGTCGACATTGCGTGGTCTTAGATACTTCAATATAGGCAGAATCGCTACGCTGCCCCATTGTTGTATTGTCGACCCGTGCCGGTGTTGAAAGATGAACATCGTGACACTCGAGACAAATTAAGTTCAACACGAAAGAATACTTCGTACCTGGATGCTCTCAATGAAAACAACAGAATATCCCAATTAACCCACTGGAACTCTGTGACATGGAACACTTCACCGCTGAATCAATGAACGCCAAACGACGAGAGCTGTTCTGTTAGGCTTATAACATGCCAGCCTCGGGAACGTTGCACCTCTGGAAGGAGGGCTAATCTTCTGTGGAAACGTACGGTCGATTATCAAGGTTGAAAGTATAAATACTTCCTCAGTAAAGGCTGCCTACGCAAGATTAGTCGAAGTGCGATGCGTCTTCAAAGAAAGGACCGGGATATGTCGGAAGGAAGTATAAGAACATTCTAAAAATTGATATAGTTTTTACCCCAGTTAAGTTACTGTAGACTGATATGAATTAGATACGGGAAAAAAGCCGGCTGCACTAAAAAACATGGGGGAGGGGGAGAGCATTTGTGAGCTTTTACACGTCAAATTTGCCGCTTTTGACATATGCAGTTTACGCTGCATACCAAGCAATTTTTTCCTCAGATTTGCAGCATTGAACTGAAGTAATTTCTCTGTTAGCACCCGATTCTGAGGAAATGTAGCCGGAATAGCCAATTTCAGAACCGTTAACGTTTTGAATAAATATGTTCTTCTGTTTATAAGTAAACGGGGAATCCAGAATTGTTATATCCAGAGATAACGGACAATTATGGCCGTTCATGGTCTAATATTGCAGAATCAGTTTCGCTTGGCAAGAACCAAATGGGTACATCCCAAAACTGGGTAAAAATCTAGGAATACTCATGTGTCGATACATATTTAGACTTTCTAAAATGTTTCAAATTAGAGACCTTTTAGGAAGCTTCTATTGTACACTTCATCGTATATGTACGTTTAAGCAGCGTGCTTGCATTGTTTATAGTCGACCGGAGTAGACCTTTGTTCTTTTTAATGTCCTTAAATACACATCGTAGTTTTTTTTTTCGCTGAGAAATTTCTCATTCGGACGAACGTCGCCAAACTCAGGCCTACACCGGCACGTCCTATTGTAATTTAGGCCATTAATCTAGCCCATCAGCAGACCGTTTTTGTGTCGGTCGTTTTCTTTGTTCACTGGGTTTCGTTTGTGATATGGCTCTAGAAGTGATTCACAACTCGTGACGATGAAGCGATGCTTTATATCGGCCTATTGACCGTCAGTTTGCACTTATAACAGGCAATAAATCAGTCCAGACGCAGCTGTACGTGTCCATAAAACTGTGATGATTAGACAGAAACAGGCCATCTTACTATTTCACAACGCAGGTGCTTTCTGCTGTGGGAGGATGGAGCAAAAATGGGGTCACTAATTATATATAATCTAATTTAAATGCTGTAGTACGCCATAGTTAATCCAAGAACTACCGGAGGTGAGGCGAACTCACTGAAAACGTCCTCTAAACGGTGAGGCAAATATGCTGTATGTTGAAGTAGAGCGATCCACAAGGCTCTATAGGTTAAGAGCGGCGAACTACATGTCGATGACTATTTCATCACACAAACTACCACCATAAGCTTTAACTTGCTACTCGCGCAAGTTTACTACTATTACTACATTTGCTACAAACAGATGGCGAATTCGAATGATTTTGACACTGAGTGTTGCCTCAGTCTTGAAACTTCTGTTATTTACGTGTATGTAGAATGATGGCTAAGCATGTTTTCTGTTCTAAAAAAAAAAATATAGCCATATAACTTTTGTGTCTATGCACAGTCTTTTTTTGTTGCTTTATATTACTACTGACCTTAAACTCAGATCCGATAAGCGCCGATGGGTAGAGTAAATCTGTGTTCTCCCAACGGTGCGCGACCTCTAGCGTCTCGTGGGTCTTTTGGTGGGAGCTCTTGCCCTCATCCAGTAACGTAGTTTCATAGAACTCCTGGATATCTGTAGAAATCAACACGTGATAACCTTAGTTAGATAGCCAGTACTTAAAGACGTTGAGAAATTTTATTACGGAACTAGGAATAACCTATCTGTGTCAACGCATATTAGCTAGCGTTTTATTTACGCGAGCTTGTTGAAGTGTATAAAATCACGCCAGTGTTACATAGTTTACCGTATGTAATTTAGCTAAATACAAACAGGCAGGACTATCTATGCTCTAAATTAGTATTTGTTTTTTTAGGGTAGATTTTTCACGGATTTATTTCAGCCTTAGCTCAAACACACTTGAATACAGAAGAACTCATTTGCGTAGTGGCGTAGAGATAACGACACAACCTCTAGGACCTACTGGACATTTGGCATTGCTCTGCATCTGTTAATAACCCAAATTCTATATTGTAGCAGTTTCCTATGACATTCACTCCGGCTTGAACAGCTCGTTTTGAATTTCCCGCCTGTCCAAACCGAATCCGACTACTCTAGCTTCGATAAAATAATCTTTTAGTTTCCAACATTTGATTTTCGTTCTAACAATATCGACGACAAACGCCTCTTCACCTCAATCTTTCCACATACACAGCTGTGGGATCCAGCAGCGTTACGCGTTTAACCCGACGATCAGAAACGCGATCAATGATACGAGAGCGTTACGTCGTCATTTCTCGACGAGTTTTCGCTATAGCGTTACCTCAGCGAAGTGCAGGAGGACAGCTGGCGTAGTTACCAATGTCATAGAAGCACTAGCAGCGGAAACGATAGTAATAGTCGCTTTAGTTACCTTCGTTTGTGCGATGCGGGCCTCTCAACCAAACATTGTGCGGTTACCCTCGGCTGCTGCTATAGTGCCCCATAGCGCCGTTCATATGCACAGCGAAAGCGACGGAGAAAAAGGAAAAAACGAGAATGCAAATTTACTTTTTGTTCTACATTATTGATAAGCTATCCTCCCACATCTCAGGATTTTCGAAGCGATTCCCTGTTCTTTCATGTCCCCTCTTTGCAGTCCAGGGATATTGCCAAGCGGCACGGAAGTCAATAAATTTGCTAGTAAACTTGACAGCTACTCGCGCCTAGCGATATTGTAAGAAGACAGAAAAAAAACGCGGTGGTCCACCATCGTTCTCAGCACACGCCCACAAATCGATACAGATTGCAGCGACGGCACAGACTTCCTTCGCCTCCTACGGAATGCTTTTTCTTATTGTCGATCTTCGCGATCTGATGATCTAGATGATGGGCGGCCGGCCTGAAGTTACTTTTTGCCACATCGATTTTAGTTGGTTGCTCTGCGACTGTGGTAAGGGCAAATCAATGGAATAGCCGACTGATGATGACTGAGATGCTTGTTTCGTCAGCTTGAGATAGTCGTCATAATGGTTTTGGTTAAAGCTATATAGTGTATATGTAAGTGAAATGGTGCGAGTGTATGTAAATGTATATGGATTTAAACAGACGCAGGGTGCTCGAAAAGTTAGAACGCTGTTATAAGGGTATTAAGTGCTAAAAATTTGGCGACCTTAAGGAAAATCTTTGATGCATTGGAACTGCTTAGCTTGCTTGTTCGTCAAACCGTATTTCAGTAGTATTTCTAGATGGTATGATTTCGGTGCCAAATAACAAAGACGGTAGAAAAACAGAAAACGTTTTTCTAGAAAACGGCCAACTCTGCATATGATTCTGCCGCCCCTCCATGATTATAGCTTAGTTCAACATTTCGACAAAAGTCTGAGGTCCCCTAGAATAACTGCTTATGAATTTGTTCTTTTTTTGCTATCTATCTAAAAGCACTGATTACCCTTCACGAAGACTTTGTCACTTTTGAGTTCCTTGTGTTAGGCAATACTTCTTTTCATTGCGTTGGTAATTATCGACACAATAACAATGACACAGTTGGAATAGAGTACTTGTGGATGTGTAAATTCGAAGTACGCTTGACCACAGCGATTAGAAGTGTGCTAAGGTACAGAGCATAATATAGGAACAGCATTGTATTTTACGAACGTCTGTGACCCCTCTTCCCAATAAAACCACGTCACCAAGTAATTTCAATTACAGTAGCAATAACACCGTCATTAAGAAAATAAGAGATGCTTGCACGAGCATGAAAGAAGGTAAAATCTAGCTACAATGGCATCATAAACTAGTAATAATAATAAAAATGATTGTTTTACTTGATTGAAATAATAGAAATCTACATAAAATTGCATGAGGACAGGGAATATATTCGTTGCTGACATAAGTCACCTATTATGCATTGTGCTACCCACAGAGGCGGACATGTAAAAATAAAGAATCGTTTATTAGCAGAATACCGAAATACATTTTCAACTGGCCGAAAATTCCTTGTCTCCTTTCGAATCCAGTCCTTGCAGGACGAGTTTGTGTCCCCCGGCGAGGGAATTTTCCATTATAAGAAAATTCATAGCCGTGGTTAATGTTTATGTAGCAACGTTTTCCATAACACAGTCGTCTCCTATTGGCTAGGCTTTTGCAAGGAGGTAAATAATTCGATCGGAAGCTAAATTCGCTTCAATCTGAGCACATCACATCCGATAGTGAATTCAACCAAAGCCGCATTCGGTAGTTGAATACAGGAAGTATCGCAGGGGCGGGATAGTTAAAGTGCAAGATTTGCCTCTGATCATCCATATATACAGAGGCTGAAACGAAAATAGCTTTACGGTGAAAAAATCGAAGTGTATAATCAACTAGGCCAGAGGCTCGCTAAACACGTCTGTGAAAGCAGATTTTTCCATCGAAATAATGTTATTGGTTCATTCTCCGACTAAATCGTTTGTCCTGTTACTTCCTACTCGATGTATTACGTTGCGTGATTTGACGTTGAGAAATGCGAAAAAATGAAGTGAGTTACGGATAGGGCGAAGATGTGGTGACGCGCATGAAGGAGCAGTAAGGCGTCCACTGAAGGGAAAAAGCAGGCGTCTTCCTTCTGCTGCTGTAAAAATGGCAATAGGAATAGCAGCGGCCTAGATGCAGAAGAATATCAAGATATGAAGGTAAATACACTGAAAGCGCCTACGATGCGCGTATTATTGGTGTCACCTTATCGCATAGCTTAATTTAGCAGTTGAGGCGATGAGTGAGAGAACTCTCCGAAAAAACTGCCAGTAGAGGTCAGCAGAAGACGCGTCTTCGGAACGCGGAAGCCTAGGGTAACCACGAAAGTGCACCGGCGGTCAACACCAGAAGGAACCTAGTTTAACGCGAAGCCGAAAGTCAGGCAGTTGGGTAGGCTGTAATAGCTTGTGGCAGTGGCGTGAGTGGTAGGTAGGAGGAATGGAGAGAAAACCTAAAATGACGGAATAACAACGGACAATTTGGCCTCGATTACCACAACAATTTTAACATCGCAAAGAGCAGAGCGGCCAGAAGGCGCTACAAGGATAACTGCTTGAAGACAGCAGGCGACGAAGATAGAACGAAATGCGAAACAGCCAAAGACGAGAGGAAATATAACTAAAGGTTCATCGGAGAGGGGTATCGTAATCGCGGTTACCGTTGATATTGTTTGTTGGTTCGTTTACGCGACTAGTAGAGCAGCGTACAGTTGCAAAATCGGATGATCTTGTTATAGTCGTGGTCCCTCTACCCTTTGACAAGGTCCCTTCCAATAAGAATAAAAATGGCTGGTAGGAGTTGATTACGGAGGATTTTTTACCGATCACGATGGATGGATCGTCGATGTTTGCTGGCTGGCTGGCTCTTTGCGAACATCAGAGTCAATAGTGGAAGGATGCAATCGCAAAGGAGTCTCATAGGAGACAGACCTATATAGTAAATCCTGCTCGTTCCCCAAATTTGAGTGTGTAAATAATCGCAGTAATAATCCATATAGGTAACTGTTACGTTTCTTAGAATCGGCATAAAATTTAACTAAGGCCTACACGGAAAAGATGATGGGGAAAAGGTAAACCTACTTTAGCGAGGAGATCGGTTACCTTTGTGGTATATACATTTCAAATTTTTAAGGCGGACTCAACAACAAATCGCAACAAAAAATCAAATTGAAAAAATGAGATCTGCTGACGGAAATTCGCAACGGATTAATAGGGACAATCTCGTGGCATCGTTTTTAATCATTATAAATATTCACAATGATCACGCGGGTGAACTGTTATCAGATGTGCTAACTTGTTAGAAGAGCAGCAATTTAATAAGAGGGATCGAATTTTATATTCAATGTAAGCGCCTTTTAGATGAATGAAGGAAATTAGACAGAGCATAACAGCAAGGTTTTTCACGTCACAGGAAAATAACACTACACTGGAGTTATACACTAAAGCGGGGTTAGAAGAATTCTATAGGGCATATAAACTATGCTGTTTTAGCATATCTCAATAGGTTATTGACACTTTTGCTAGAAACTACAATGCCATCACGAGAAAACAGAGATCCAAGCTCCTGTCGACTTTTCGATATGGATTTGCGATAACAAGCTTTATAGCATAATGTTCTTCATTAATAAATGAGTTTAAAAATATTATGGGTCCATATATATATATATATATAGATATATATACACAACATGCTACTTAGAAGGATCTTTTCTCCTAGTCGCAGATAAATCGAATCATAGCCTGAGCAGTTTACCTTGCGAAATACTTTACAGTACGACCTCACCAAACATGGTTTTTTGGTCTATGCTGGCGCCCTTTTTGCGCGGTGCTACGACGATGCTTGACGTGGCCTGCTGTGTGACAAACGTGGTCAAATTTCTATTCCCTTATGACAGTTCTCCATTTATTATTCCTATTACTCATATTGTTTTTTTGACCCGTTTATCTGTATTTGACCGCCTCGGGCTATCGCTATTAGTACTACCTATGCTTTTTGTCCTACTACTTATGCTGATTTCAATTAACGTCTTCTAGCTTAATTTCCATGTAACTTGATCGTGCTGTGCTTTCTTCCTTGGCTTAGTGGGCACTAAGCGATAGTTCCAGCAGGAGCCCCACCAAAAATCAGAGGAACGCCATCCATAGTAGCACGAGCTCGCCGTGCCGTTATGCAATTACAGATCGTCCGTGTATCGCCTCGTTTCATTTTCGATGCCATTCGCTAGGTGAAGCACGTAGTCCTGAAGAGGCGAGAAATCACAACAGCTGTGACTGCTAATTGCTAGTACCGTCACCATCGCCGCCGATGCCGTTATTGCTACTAGCACATTATGACTGTTGTTTGTTCAAGCCGTTTCTCTGCTCTTACCTTGGATTTTCCTGTCAGAAACCTCCGTCAACTTCTTTTGGCTATATAGGCGTTTCGTCGTCGAGGTAGTTTGCTGTAGTTGTTAAGTAAATGGCTTGTCGGCACAGAAGGACACAATTCCGAGTCCTTTTTCACCTTCGCATTTATCCGCTCGATTATGCACGCTTGCCTCTGTAGATTTCCCTCTTTTGCGTTGGCTTTCCTTCAACCAACTAAACCTTTTTTCGTTCCATGGCGCTGTCGCCCTCGACGTCATCTTACTCCCTTTCTATTCGCTCCTAAAACGATACTTCTTCAAAAGCTATGGAGCGCAAAACCGGTTTGTGTTTGCTCGCCATACCGCATGCAACATACATCCCTCTAAATATATAACTTTTACCCCTCCATGTCTACATCAACTCTTCTCTGAAACTCTCCACGCTAACCCGCGAATTAACCAATTCTGTCCCACTTGTGGACAGAGCAACGGCCCTTGCCGTAACCAGAAGACACACAAATCTTGCACTCAAGGTCCCACCGAAGTACTCGGTGTGGTCTTCCTCCATCTGGCCTGCCGGATATACATAGTCCAGCGTCGGCATTTCGTTGTAGTCCGCCATCCGAGTGAGTACGGAAGATCCATTTTGTCCGCCCGCTAGGTTCTGCTGTTCCTTAAACAGTCTGTCCATCTGTCTATCATTCTTCTATTTATTCTTTTTCCTTCGTTATCGTCTCGAGTCATCTGTCTTTTTGTGGGACTCTTGTTCTTTAACGGGTCTTTTTAGAAGCGTTGATTGTTCTTGGCCGTTGTCTTGACTAGTCTCTCATCGCCACTGTGCCACTCTGAGAGACGCGCTAATGCCTGAGCTATGCCTAGGCCAATGGTTCGGTGGCCCGTTTTGAGAAGGAGAATAGTAGCAAGAAGGCAAAATATGTAAAGATACTGAGATAGACACAGAAATAGAGAGAGAGAGAGAGAGAGAGAGAGAGAGAGATAGGGTCAAGAGTCAGAAGAACGATAGTGGGAAGGTTTGGAAGCCTTTACGATAAAAGCTCCCAGGCAAACGTAATGGTCAAGTTAATGTCATACATGAGGCCGCTATTCGGATAGTGGGTAGACGGCGACGGTCGTGGCTCTGCCGACGCTTGGGCAAGATGTGCGATGGTAGCAGGGTTGTTTGATGTAAGTTTTGGCAAGCAAGCTTTCTGGCTTCGTATCCATATGCAATCCTCTTCTATCCGACCAAGTTCCCGGTCACTGTATAGTCGGAGACTGCTGAGAGATCGGTGGTATGAGTGAGCCCTAGCTCGGGAGGTTTCGTACAGCTTAACTGCTCTATAGCGGCCGTAAGTGTCGCCCGAGGAGACCACGCGATCGAGCCAGCCGCAGCCATAACCCGGCCATAAACTGCACAACTACCCTATCTGGTTCCGTCCTTTCAACCACTGCTTTTTCCTTTTCCGCTGCTCGCTGGTAGTAACAAACAGTCGAAACGTGTTCGCAGCGTGGCTAAAGAGTGCTGGCCGTGCCTAAAGTGAGCCACAGTATCTCTCAATCCATTGACTCAATCCACTCACAGGACGGACCGTCCTAGATAGTAACGAGGTTCCTGCTTGCTCATTCCAGCCGCCTCGTGTGTTTTCCTCATAGGTCCTAGTTCACCGGAAAACCTAAGAACTGCTACGATGTGAAGATCACGGCAACTCCTTCCAGATTACGATTGCATTGAGGCACTGAAAATGCTGTATTCCGTTCTCACTTTCTGTCGGTTCTTTGCTGCCTCACTTGTCGTTCCTGTCGCTGGGTCACAAAGCGGATGGGCCCAGGCATTGGTTCGCCAATTGGCTGAGAGTCTTCTGAGCGATGCAGTCATTCTCAGCGCGCGCTCTGATAACCACCGCAGTAATGGGCACCACTTTCGACAGTAACCAGTCAGACTCGTAGTTATCACAGCGAAACAAGCGTCGTAAGAAATGGTTTTTGTACTGTAGTAATGTTTAACAAGAACACTATCTTTCCATACGTCTGTACGGACAACGAAGGGATGTTCCCCTTTTAACACAACAACGGAGACACACGGGTTTGTGGGTAAGTAGCAATACATTGCACGCACAAGTTTGCACGTATGTGCAATAGATGGAATGAACGATGTATTATCATAAACGTACCGAGGAGTGCCTGGAAAAGCTTGGATTTGAAGATTCGGATTACGCGCTCGATAGCTTGACGCAGCTGGCGATCCTGGGGCCTTGAAAGCTTGGCATGGTAGTCCTCTAACAGCTCCAGTGCCCGATGGGCTTCTGTAATCAAAGAGAAGCGATAAAACAAATGATTTGGTTATCGCTTATATATACACATATATTTAGTCCATTCTCGTAGAAGTGGTAGGTTGATACGAAAATGCCAATAGTAATCCTAATAACCATCTATGTGACTGCACACGGTTAGGTTAGGTTGGGTTAGGTTAGGTTGTGTTCTGCATTATGACCATTGGCATAGTTCTTGTACCGCGCCACTATTTGATTACTTGAAATTAAGAAAAAGCACAACCATAGAAAGTTCTGCTGTGTAATAAAATTCGCAGAGAGCTATTTCCTAAGCAAACACAGAACTAGGCAATTATAGGTGGCATAATGCAGGGTGTGATGCTGCAGCATTGTCCTCAGCAGCTATAAAAACCAATGGGCTATGCCCGACTTAATAACGCAATAATAAGAATGTTAATTAACTGGTTGAATAGCAAATCATAATATTTGCATTTATACCTACAGTTTCTATTTAACCCTCTCGTAGCAGCTGTGAACCAGCAAACATATCAAGCAATCCGAATACGACTTTAATGAAATACCTAAACGTCTCACACAGATATATATATATCTGTGAGCGTTCCGTAGGTTTCTATCTATGACCCACGTTATGCCGTCTTGTGTGTTAGAGCCTCAGCTCTGGGTCGACATAGAATAGCATAGCTGGATATATATATATATATATATATTGGCATAGTATCACGGCGAAAAATATACCTACTGAAATGGAAATCTCTCTACTTTAACACCCACCGCCTAATCCCATGACAACGACATTTCGGGAGCACGCTCAGCAGCTTTTTTGACAGTGGCATCTTATTCCTTCTATAAACAGTCCGCGCTCTTTGCTATTTCTCCTATCTGACAACGGTACGTATCATCTGATAGACTATTAAATTGATGTCTTAAACATCCCACTAGTTTGGCACTCAGTACGATGTACCCTCGTGATGATTTACAGATTGCATTCAACAATAACGGCAGTCTACGTTGCTAAGGAAAATTCGATAACTCATGGGTATGCCTGCTTTTACTCTTCAACTGATGTAAACCCTTGCGGCTACGCTAAATTAATCGAAGGCTAAATTAATTCAGACTCTACTCAGAGGGATTGTCGCTTGCGAACGTTAAGGTATCAAAAGGCGAATCGGAGCGATCAACCCGTTGGCCTGAACTGTGTCACTGCTGCGAAGAGGCTGATGCTGTCTAAAGATTTCAGCTACTCAACGTGGAAGCAGCTAAGTAGATAGGGCAATGGAAGTGTCAGAGTCAAGCATAGCGCGAGGCTATGCAATAAGCTAACTGCTACCTCTGCGATGGTCGGCTGGCAACGTTTGTTATTAGTGTAATATACAATTGGTTAATAACAACAATAGCACTTATTAGAACGAATAACGCCGAGAGCATGGTAAGAGGCGAGGCAAGGCTGGACATGGGGTAAATTGAAACGAACAGCAGAAAAAAAATGGCGCAGCCAGACGGTTGTAGACTCGGTGCTCTGTACCAATCGATGTTGCTCTTATTATTAATTACAATTACGCAGACATTCATAACGACAACAATAATAGCCTATTACAGACCGATTATGATTACACGTAGATAGAAAATGTGCGCATAACTGTATATTATACAGTCATATGTTTCAATACACCCTGCATAAACTATAGCTGATGGTTCGATGCGCGAAACGACGCTGAAAGAACTTGTTCGTAACCGTTTACAGAAGGAGCAACGGCGACACTCCGGCTGCCACGGCAGCGACGGACCCACGGGCTGACGCCAGTGGCTTTTGAAAATAGACAAAGCTATAGACAAGCGCTGACCCCACTTGTTGATTTCGTGGATAGTCCTGTCGAGCGTTCCGTAGGTTTCTATCTATGACCCACGTTATGCCGTCTTGTGTGTGAGAGCCTCAGCTCTGGGTCGACATAGAATAGCATAGCTGGATATATTTTTCATATTGTCTAAGCTGGTCCACTGGCAAGATCCCCCCTCCCCGAGACAAACGTACGCTATTCCCAAGGTCGTATCGTTGTCTCAACCGAAAACGGCATTCACCTCACCTTCCACTTTGCTCCGTTCCTCCTACAGCTTCTGCTGCCACCACTTCTACTGTGCTTTTCATGTGTGCGCCCCCATCCCGTACGCTTCCAAGTTCATAAGGTATGCATAACAAGCGCAGCACGCGGAATTACCCTTATCCTTCATGTTCGTGCGTTTCCTGGTAACAGTACTAAGTCGGCACCCTGCCTTGGGCCATTTATTTGTCGCTATGCAAAAGGAGGCTCAAACGTCGGACTCTACTTCAGATCGGTCATGGACCCATTTCGCATTCGAAGTGTACAGGCGAAGACTAAGGCCTGTTTCGAACATCCGCTGTTGTCTAACGGGCTCACGACAACGTCGGATTTGCCGACCAACTAAGCCGTGAAGCGATACTTACGGCGAGTTTGTATAGGGACGGGACCCCTGCGCTTTACGATGGACTAGGACCAGGGAACTCCCCGCAGTCTGCCCCTTTCCCCTTTCTCTTCCGAATCTACGCGTTCCTCCCCTGTTTTATACAAGTGCTGTTTGTTTACCGGTTGTGCCAGGTAGGTTACGACGAGGTTCAGAACCAGTAGCAACAATCGAGATGGTCATACCAGAAGGAACAGCAGGGTAGGGCATAGTCCAGCCGCAACTCATTGGTTCGCTCGTGTCACTACCATCGCTACTCCCATTGCGGCAAGGGGGGGGGGGCTAAACGAAGGGGCGAGTGAAGCTACGCAAGCAAGAACACAACGTAAAGCTTCGGCCGTGACGGAGCCAGCAGGCGTATAAAGCGGGATCCGATGCCAGGAGGGCTTAAGCCTATACTGTCGAGCAGGATTAGTTCTGCCGGTGATGATGGTTCTTGCAAACGCGTCGTAGTTCGTGTTGGGAGCGGAAAATAGAATAGCAGGTTCGCTGCGTGTCCCTATTCGCGGCGAACCAGCTCGCACCTTTTGTGCAGGAGCATTATGAGAGTAAGCCTTTTTAAAGCTTGAACAGGTGAGTGTATGAAGCGTGCGTAATTACTCGACCAAGCTGAGGGAATATCGGTTAGTCAGAGGATCGCTTTCGCCTCCTGAACGCAAGCTATGGGTTATGTGTTTGAAGAAGGGAACACATTCGAATATAGCACTGTTCTTCTATTTGCGATAAAGGAAAAAAGCTACATTTTTATTCCATTTTACTTTTTGGACAGAAATTGAAAGTTTGTCGAGTGACATTCGGGACATTGGAAATTACTGCTCAGTGGGCCGGCATGGGTAATTGAGGTAGCGATTTGGGTGTGGGTATTTCCGAACGAGTTTTTTTGCGAAAATAGAGGTCCAGTTGTCCGAGCGTGTGGCGCTAATTCCTAAACAGTGTAGTTCATAGAACCTCTAGCTTCAACGTTTGATATTCGCTCACCTTTTATTTGGCTATCGCAGCCGCTCACTGACTGCAACAGAACCGAACACGCGCTGAAGAAGACGTTAGGCCGATTTGACATTTTCCATTGTCAAATTTGTATTCTACACCTTTTCTCAATGCGAGCAAAAGGGTTTCTTATAGGCGTTGTATCATACGTCAGCACTTTATCTGCATGAAGGAGAAGGGTTTATGTGCTGGCAGTTATATATTTACCGATTCAATACCGGGCGATTTTGCACAGCCCAAATTCAAGGTCGCATTTTTACTTGACCCATTAAACTAGGTTATATACATATGCAGATGTACAATCCCAAAGATTCCCTGCTACACAGGCAAAATGCTCTGAATTCAATACAAATAGTGGCGCACATTGATATGGTTGCTGCGCCAAAAGGTATTTGTAGTATTCTTGTTAAAGCAAGCCAAACGGGAGTCAGTCAGCCCCAGGAAGTGACGTACATGAAGTACTATTGCCTTAGCGCTCTATTATCATATGGATACGTTATTGTGTTTCATACATATTTTTAGGTTTGTAGTAGTATTTAGTGTACCATTATGCTGTTTTATTGAGGAATCTAATTGCTATATTATAGTGTGATCTAAGAGTCGTTGAAATCGATAAAATTTGTCCCGTCTAGAACCTGAAGACATTTTTCTTACAACAGACTACTTCATCGATATACAATGTAGCTAATACGTAGAACATGCATGTATACATTATAAAGAAGACCTTAGACAGAGCGTTTTCCGCAAATGCCGAGGCAGCATGAAAGTTACATCGATCGATCACTATCAAGATGATCTGGGCAGAGATCTGCGCATTTCGACATAAACCGGATAGAAGGGCATATGTGTCACTCACTTTTTTTCGGTTAAACTTTAGCTGAAAAAGTATGAAAATGTCAAAAGTAAAGATACTGGATACCCGAAAATAACAAATAAATGTAGATTGTAAAAACGCTTAAAGTAACCTTTCCGTTCCTTCTGTAGCTTCAAGCTAATTTGGCTAAGATACCCTCAAACTATTAGTTAGCAACTAAACTTGTTTACTGATAGAAAGCTGTTTGACGGCTTCTAGCCAGTTATGCCTTACCATGATGGTCCAATGCTACATGTCTTAGGGGGCCGATTGCCTCCAAACAGAACAATCGGCAAGTCAAACGTCACCATGTCCTCACAACGAAGACTATTTCTTTCGATTCAGCAAAATAACCTAAACCAAAAAAGCAGATTTTTTTATCCCTTTACTAACGAATGTAACACATGCAAGTTCATGTCGACTACTTATGAAGGACCTAGCTACACTGCGAGCTCCTCTGGGAGAGCTGTTATGATAATGTCAGGTCCGAGTCTAAAGTAATTATGGTACTTGCTATAAATATAAAAGGAACTCACTCTCGCAAGATATTAGATAATAATATAAAAAAAATTCTCTAATACTCTTTAGTTTAGTTTCGAAGCGCAACCATCGGTAGTTCAGGTTATAGGACTCTGACGACAATACAAAGCCTTATCAGTCTATTCAAATTGTGGTCAAGATCGGAAAAGATTTT